GAATTTAGAGAGTGTGTACACACATTTTTCCACACAAATTTCGTGCAGTGAATAATATTAATATGGAATCAAAAGGTAATTTAGATTGATAATCAATATTTAATGATATTTTGACGATGCATTTCACACTGCTATTTCACATTTTCGGTACTCAGGAGCTTCGGAAGAAAATACAGAAATGAAATCATGCGCAGTGGTCATCGAGCAATTGGCACCGCGGCTACTACGATCACGATTGGCAAAAAATTCTACCAACCAAGCAAATTCAGTTGCAAGCGCAAGCTATGTTCCAGCTAAACGTGAACGTCGCATAGAAAGTTTGCCTGCAAAACAACACGCAATTCCAACCAAGCGCCGTCGCAGTTCATTGGATATCGATACCAACAGCCAGCACGCAAAAAAGAAAAAGAAAAATGTTGAGTCTGATGAGCTGAAGGAAATCATCGCCCTTAATTGCAAGCTAACAAACGAAATGCTGGCAATGAAGAAGACATGCATGGAAAAAACCTCCGAATTTAATGAAATGCAAAAAAAGTATTTCGAAAAAGAAATCGAATGTTTGAAATTGCAGGCATTGGTTTCAGAAAAAACAAAAATTATCGATGAGCTCACAAAGGAGCTGCAAACTATGAAGGATGATATGTTCTGTACTGATTTAATTCAGTTCGACGCTGCAACAGATGGTAAATAAGAATTTTATCCATTTTTTTCAAAAATAAAATCAAAATTATTGTTATTTATAACAATTTCTCTCAAAACATTACATTACATTATGCAGGTTCAGTCGCGAAAAACGATGGAATGGCAAACGTTCAAGGTCAATGTGAAGTCAACCAAAGCGCCCGAATGGATTTGACCAACTTTATGGACGATGCTGTTGAGGCCGGTAAAGGCGAAAACGTTCAAGGTCAATGCGAAGTCAACCAAAGCGCCCGATTGGATTTGACCAACTCTACGGACGATGCTGATAAGGCCGGTAAAGGCGAAAGTACGTAAACATGAATACATTTTCTCTAACAGAGGTTTTCATATGTTTTGTTCTCAATTGTTTTTTCAGAATCTGGATCGGGTGGATCATTCATCTGGACACCAACTGATTAATGAAGACGCGAATGAAATCCTCAGCAAACAATTTGAGAGAACAAAGCCATCGTTACTGTTATTTTATAAACACTCCCTCCATTTTTACTAGTCTTTTCATCATAGTTTCTGAGCTGATCTCAAAATATCTTAAGCGCATACAGTAGAATATGAACATTTCGTAGAAAGTGAATGAAATCCGATTTTTTCTTAGTCAAATTTATTTTTTATATATTGAATGAAGTAAAATGTGTTTCCTTGTAATAAAGTCAATGAACTTTCAAAAAAGAAATCGTGAATAAAAGTAAAAATCGTCTACGTCTCTTTGATTTGTGTAATTTAATAATATGACTATAGAGACACACTAGATATCTATCGATTATGGCGAAACTGGTCTACGAAATTAGTCGTTTTTCATCACATAGTAAATCAGAATTGCATACAATCACTGCTGTCTATCAGTATACCACTCTGTGTTATAAAATAATAGTGAGAACACTTATCGTCAAACTTTCTAATCAGTCTGGATTATATTACGCTATGCTATGAAAGAATAATATTTGGTTATGCTTAGCTTGTTCCAAAATAACTTAATCAGAATCAAGTAAAATTGATTTAGTAATCACAAAAGTCTTTGAAACTTAATTATTTTCGATTTAATATGGCACATTTATTGCTATGGATTCCAGTCGTTGTCGTCGTCTTCATACTCTTCTTCATCGTCGCTCGAATTGTAGACAACGTGATCGTCGTTTTCCTCATTCAAATCTTCATCAGATGTCATGTTTGTAATACTTGTTGGAAACGGACTACCACTGTAATAATCTAATTCAAGTTCATTCATTTCGTTTATGAACCAACCATCACTTGGGATTTCGAGGTAATTTTGTTCAGATTGCTTGACCATCTGTGCCATATAATTGGTTCTTTCGATTTTTTTCCGAATCACACTCTTGCAAGGTGGCAAATTTTTGAAGTCCACACCTAAGTCAAATGATATAATTGTATTGAGTATGATACTATTGTAAAAAAAAGACCAAAACGAAAAAATGCAATTACCTTTCTCAGTGAAGTTGAAATTATTCTTTGAACCGAACCCTTTTTGGAATAGAATGAATCTAGCCTCATCTACGTCCTTACTATTCGTGCCATATAGTTGACATGTAAATTCTGCTAGTGAATCCAAATCAGTCTCTCTTAAATTGTCACCATTTCCAACATTTGCAAAAGTACGTTGAAATTGCGGATGTTTCTGTAGAATATTCCAGCAAGTCTTCCGTCCTTTTCCGTAAAAACTTGGTTCGTAAATACAGCCTGTATACATGAACCAAGCTGGCAAGGCCTTTACGAAAATACCACTGTATGCTCTGTAAATTGATCGCACATTTATCGTTTGTACATTATTGGTTTGAATCCAAATTTCTCGACTATTGTCCCAAAATTGCATATGGTAGAGCAAATAAACGAGCAGGGTATCAGCATTTGCAGTTTTGATACAAATATTTGTCGCACGAATCTTGTGTAGGTGTAAAATAATCTTCGACTCAATTTCGAAATGGTTGTTGTTGAACGTGGATAAATCCTTTCCACTAAAACTGTTGCCAAACAGAAAACATTTCTCTCCAAAGGATAGGAAAACTCGCTTTTGATCTGGAACCGGTTCATCAAAATCAGGTGAAGACCAATATTCAATGAAAAACTTGACGAGCTCTTCCTTAAAACTTTCGCTAGATAAGCATTTCGCCAAGCTGCACGTGCGTTCTTGGTTTGGCCCTCTTATTTGAAAGTTGGTCGATGCATTTTTATACAGTTCCTTTTGTTTTCTCATATTCATATCTCTTGGTGACGGACTAACATGTTTGTGGAAGAATACATGTACTTCATGCGCTGTGGTATTACAAAGTATACGAATGACATATTTTGCAAGTTGTCCATACTTAACAGGTGCATCTTTGATATTACTTAAGAGATTGAATCCATCAATCATATCGACATCAATTTTATCAGGTGTATCGGTTTGTCGATCGATATTTGCAGTCAGCAATGATGTGAGTTCCTCCTTTTGTTTTCCTGAAGCAATTGAACCTTCGAAATGGGCAAGAGCATGTGGCACTGTTGCTAATGGATACGAAAGGATGCTTCTAAGGTTGATTTCATTGTCAAGAGCTAAGCACAGTATCTTCCCCAATATGTTCCGTTCGATCTTTGCTTCATCCACTCGTTTATGTGTCGAATTCATGCTTTTAATTGATTCACTTGCAAAGTTTCTAATAACATTTCTTTTTATCGGGCGTTCAAAACGCATTCCTGTCTCACGGCACTCATTCATGAACGTTTCCATCTGCTTAAGTCCGCTGGTCTCCGCATTGATTAAAAACTCCGCCACTTCCGATGTTGCCGCTTGCCCCGATGCCAAATTAAATAACTTCAATGGATTAATATCTTCATCGAACGGATTAATGTTTTTGTATACTTCTTTTGAAAATTTTTGTCGCTGTTGGTTGAATATTTTACTATTGTACTGATCCGAACCTTCATTCGATTTAACCAAATCGAGAGACTCAAGCAAATGGGTGATGACCGCAGTTCGTGTAGCATGGGTTTCGCTCCATCTTTTTCGAGCACAGAGAGAATTCGTGAAGGCTGTTATCCCAGTTAATTTGTTGGCTGCATCGGCATTGATTGTTTGTTCGAGTGTTAAATCGATGGGCGTTCTACAGAATTGTTTCGAGGTTCGACGGATTGAGAGCGCACCATTTTCAAACTCCTCCCAGAGCCCTGGATGCGTTTTACCTACGTTCATCAGGTCGTTCAGATTGCGAGTGAGCCATCGAGCATAGTTTTGATGGTTGAAAGTGAAGAAGAGGGGACAAATTCTATATGCAGCATAGATGTACATGTTCAAATCACTCGATCGTATAGCTCGTTCAAACATCTGATACAATTCGATGAACCATACATACAACGAAACAAATTGCGCAGTTTTTCCATGTTTTCCGGCCAGTGTATCCTCTGTGTATGAATTGTAACGATTCATTAGATCATCCAACACATTTGGTGATGCATCACTCTCGCCTGGGTTTCGAATGTCGCGTTCCAAAATCTCGATTATTTCATTCTCATGGAGAATTGATTCGCCATCTCCTCTCGAATACTCATCCATAAATGCTTTAAAATGTAAAACCTTGAATGATAGAGCAGCAACAACATGTAGTTTTTTACATCTGTTGAAATGCGTTCCACCCAGGAGTCCTTTGACCGAACCTTCTGCTAAAATACCACTCTCGACCATTATTTTAGTTATGCCCGATGAGTCGATCAGCTTACCAATCGCCTATACAGTGAATAGAAACAACATAATTACTTTTGCGAGAAGTGTGCTCTATCTAGTAAAACCTCTGAGACTTTCTTCGAATGCAGGTAGAAAATCATTGTGCTAGATTTATTTTCAAGCACTCATATAAAATGAATATTTACCTTGAAGAATGACAATTCAATGTGAAAACTGCCCAGGTTTATGAAAACATTGTCAAATTCAGGGGACATTGTCTCTTGGATCTTGTAGGCTTTGGATGCGATTGCAAGATCGTACGTGATAATGATATTTTCTTGATTGCATTCTTTTGCAATAGATTGGGCCATTTGCATTGTTTTCTGTACAACTGCATTTGATGTTGGTGATGCATTAAGATTTGGTAAATAACCGATTTTCTGTTGAGGGTTTTTGTCGACTGTCCGATCAGCATTCCATGAGAACCATCTTTGTGCATTACCTATTTCATAGACGTAAAACATCACCCATAAATTATTTAAATTCATGGCCCTTTGCCAATTCGACGGCATTGTCGGTTCTCCTTCAAATAATGGTCTGATTGAGCTGAATTGATTATTTGAACTTAGCGGCATAATTGAATCATCAAATGGCGATACATATTTTCGTCTTCTTCGGTTCGTATTTTGGATTTGTGTGGCATTGGAATGACAGTTCATGGGAATCGGTTCGACGTCTTCTGTTGCGGTGACCATGTTTTGATAGACAATACCAACAGTATCGTGAAGTGTGTCTTTGCCGCTGGATGTTTCAACGAACTTATCGAAGTTATCAAATGCAACGTGCGTTTGAAGGTTTGGTCTTGGGATTAAATCATAAGGTAATACACGCCCACTCGAAGAACAGCCATATGCCAGCTCTGTTTCAAGCTCTTCAGTCAAGGAATAATTGATGGAATAGCCCATTTTGTTCAAGATGTTAATCATTTTGCGACTGCCAGTTAAACTCTTGGTTGTGAGCCCAAGCGACAGACATGAAGATGGTTTAATTAAACCGTTTGACATGGTGTATAAAATACTGTCACAAATTGATGAAATCCTGATATCTTTGGCTGGTTGACCTTGTGTTTTTGGACCTTTCACTAAAAATCCGATCAATGCATATAATTCCGTTGGAATGCTGCATTCGCCTTCAACAATATTCTGTAGTGTCAAGCTGTGTTTGGGTAAAGCATGTTTAGGCATCTCTTTTACAATCCTGCGAATCTCGAAAGCAACTTTTTTGATTTGCATTGTTAAATCTGAAGTTTGATGGAATCCTTTTGCGAATATTTCCTCGGTGGATAAATCTTCAAGATGCAAAAAAGTTCGATTTTTGTAGATCGTTTTTGTAACCGATGGAAAATGTCGGAGAATTTGGTTCAACACGTATTGTGACGAAAAGACTTCTTCATTTGCTGCATTACTTTCTCGAAACAACGCTGCATACAACTGATAAATATCACCAAGTGATAGAATTTCCTTTTTCTCAACAACTGATGCAGTCACTTCATCTTTGACTTTGGCAAACACCTTCAAATGCAACTTCCTACGTTCCGACTGAACCTTTAGAAACGATGACTTTTTATATTTGTGTTCATTTTCAGCAAGACAACTCAAGTGATAATTGATATCAGATTCACGACACTCGCTGCGTTGAAGATGTTTGACAAGAATTTGGTTTATTTGATTCTTCTTCTGTAACGTGGTGGCTTTCGTTAGTTTTTGATTAACACCTTTACGCCAGCGACGTGCCTTTTCACAAAAGATACATATTGCATCGTCAGTCACTTCAACCCATTGGTCTTCGCCTTCTTCTACATCCGAAAGTACTGCAGGAGTTGGGTTAACTGGGCATGCGGGACCTGGATCAAAAATTAAAGAAATGAATATTACAATGCTGCTGCGAAATCAAAAGTTCATACGAAAATTTAATTTATATTACTCTCAGTTTCGTGAATTTTGCTTTTGATGGAACAAAAATATCGGTAACAACTGGGATGGTATCCATCGATTCCATTGGCTACTTCAGGCAAAATGATTTTGTTGTATTTAGATCCTCGTTTCTGTTCTTTGTCTCGGATTGCTCTCTTTGAAAGGCACCTTTGGAGAGTATCAAAAGTGAAGGGAATAATTTTTTCATTACAACTGCCGACAGTCGTATGGAGCACACATCTTGGTTCTGTTAACAGAAGAAAAAATATTGATGTAAATTGACTGTATCAGAATATCGACTATCAGTGTAATTACCTTTCGAATCCATATTGAACCTTCGAACACAAATAATTCATTGCACGAAATTTGTGTGGAAAAATGTGTGTACACACTCTCTAAATTC